TCCATCGTAGAGAGGGTGAAACCAGGCTGCTCCTTGGAGCAATGATTCTAACGTTTTGTCTGACATATTTTGGACATGTTGCAAGGCCGGACCAGTCCTTGGAGAGGGACATCAGGCTTGGGAAGGTGGAGGGACAGTGCAGGAGAGGAAGACCCTCAATAAGATGGATTGATTCAGTGATTGGGGTAATGGAGGTAGGTGTGTCAGAGACAATAAGGTTAGCTCAGGACAGGCAACTCAACAATATGTAGCATCAACATTGGCACACTTTTATGAACATATTTTCCCTCTCTGGGGTGATGCCAAAGCTTGATTTTCCTCTGAAAACTTTTGTGATAGTAACCAACCCATTTTTGGGAAGTCTAGAATGTAGCTTACCTATCAGAAGATTATGCTGTTAAATGATAAACTGTCCAAGCTGTAAAACCCTAGAAGCTTATGTAATGCTATAGCTTCTGGATTAAAACCAAACCCAATCAAAACTATTATTTTAATTATAGTATCTGGGTTTGAATTCTGGAAAAGTAATTCAGGCACACATTACATTTTATACATTTTCGTGCCACACTTAAAAAAAAAAATCCCCATACCTACTAGTACTTCTCACTGTGTGTTTATGACATTCATGGTTGAATTCATTCCAATGAAATAAAAAGCACTTGCAAGTTTGTAGGCCAACAGGCTGGCTCAGAGGCTTTAATGTTGCCACGTGAGCCAAAGATAATGCTCACAAGAGCTGTTGCACAAGATGAGATCCCCTTTTCCACATGCCACACATAAAAAAAAAATGCAAATGAATTTAACCTTAAACATTCTGGAGACACTGGGTTTGTTAAAGGTGAAGGAAAAATGTCTGGGAAGAGATAATGGTGATAGTTGAATATCAAGATGGATTTAATTTCTCTGAATTGTACATGTGAACAGCGTTGAAATAGCAACTACATTGTTTTATATCTATATATCTATGTCTATATATTTGGAAGCAGGAGTGGCATCTGCTTCTTAAACAACATGCCTCTGGAAACTATGAACTTAGATAAATGACAATAGTTATAGAAAAGCTTCAGGCTTTTTGTTCATAGGATTTCTATGAGTCATGCTCAACTTGACGGCAATCAATAACATATATTATATACACACACACACACATATGTTTTGTTGTGTTTTTTACAATTCCAAACAGACAAACCATAAGATTCCTTGGCTTTCCAGGTAACCTTCATGGTTTATATCATAGAGCTCTTAACACTCATTTAGTTATTTGCCACTACAACAAAATTTGTGAAAGGTGGAACATGTGTGAGGAAGAAATCCGGTCAGAGAAGGAAAACAAAGCTGTTTTTTGTTAGAGTACCATACAAAAGAGATGACGACACATTGTCAAAGGTGGAAAACGTGAGGGCCTGGAATAACTAGGGAGCCCTGTGTGGTTCCAGCTCCCACAGGTTTTGCAGTGTAGCATGACAGTTCAGAACATTTTCTAATTAATCTCAGTACTCAGCCCACAACTAGCACAGAAGGTAAACAAGATCTACTGCTAAGCCAACTCCCAGGAGAAAAGCTTCATTTTTGAACAAGCAATTCTTACAAAACCTGAGCAACCACTGACACAAACAAAACTTCATATTTTGCAGATGAAGACAAAGTAAAATTATTTTTCCCTATATGCACAATTAATGGTAGCGGAGTGTGTATGCGTCACACACACATATACATACTTCTCTACCATTAATTGTACACACTCACCCACTAAGCCCTGCTCCTTCCCAATGGGGAACTCTCCCCATCTTGGGTGACAGAAGAACGTGAAGGCATATGCTGAAGTTGGAGCCTACAAAATTCACAAGCCCTCTTTAACTAACCACCCCATGACAGTGGCAAATGAAGCACTTTTTAACGGGTCACCAAAGAGATTCTCAGGACACACTGCTGTGCTTTTGTGCTTCAATACCATCCTGCTTACCTTGCTTTTAACTGCAGCGAGACGAATCAGAGAGGTAGTAATTAATTATAATTTGTTACAATTTAAAAATCACAAAAGAAACTCTGAAAACTGGTTTAGAAGAGTATTTTCAGATGTACGTATATTAATGATTAATTCCCCAGAAACTTCAGCCAGCAATAGGTAAAATGTCAGAGACAGCGACAGTTACTTAATTGCTTAGTGCAATTTACAATGCACAAGGAAAAGGCGGCTTTTTGTAGCCCATTATCAAAGTGTCAACAATGATTATTGCCAATATAGTTACACAAATGCCAATTGAGGGGGCAGCTGTTTTCTTTCAAATGGGTCCCAGAGAGAAGGTTATATGTTAAAAAGAATCTTCTTCTTGTGACCCTATGACTCCATTACACAGTCTTTCCTTTACCTAATAAAATCAGACATGAGTTTTGAGAAAACCAGCGCAGGACGAGGAACAAAATGGATATTTGTGTAAATCCCCAGGACTCACTCACTCTCAAGAACACAAGCTTTTAAAAGAGTCAGGTCAAATCCCCCAGAAATCAAGTGAGTCCAGTTATGTTTTCTTTTACTCCCCTGGATTCCCTGCTGTGTCGCTTGCTTGCTGGCAGCATGCTAAGACTGTCATTTGTAAAAAGGCGTCCGCTCAACTATAATTACTAATTTGATGTCACACTGGAATTGCAGCGCAGCTGTGAAAAGATCGACTACCAGGGAGATATGCATTTCTCTGTCTCATTTAGAGAAGTCTAAACTGCTGGAGCCATGAATGGAGGATGCCCTTCCATTAAAAAGGAAAGAATTAAAGAATAAAACAAGTCACAGCAGCTGTCAGAATTTGACAACGGTTATGCTCCTTTTTTTTTTTATCCCCCTTTAATTCAAGACATCTGTACATGCATGTTCTGATACTTGTTGCCACTAAAGTGATTCCATTATTGCTGAAATATAACTTCTTTATTTCTTTCCATTTCATCTTTATTATTATGCTAATGCAAATCACACTAATTACATGTCAAGCTGAAATCTATGGGATGGAACTTGTCTGCACCTATATCACTAAATATTTGAGATGACAGTCTCAAAACTTGTCATCAACAAGTTAAAAGTATGAGGAACAAAGCAGAATGACTAGAAAGGGGAAAAAATCCATCTCAAAGCCCCCAAGAATCCCAATTACTAATTAAGCCGTATCAGCGGAGAGCTCTGTGACAAGGTGCTTTGCACCCTGGTAGGTGTTCTGTAGAGTAACCTGTTTACTTACTCTGTGTATGGCAATGATGAGACTATTCTTGCATATCATGTAATATCATTTGTAAAAGACTAACATATACAGAATATTTTTATTTTTCTAAAAATATTTCTAAGCAAGAGAAACACTTATTGTTTTGCTAACATTTTCTAACAAAGAAAAGCAGCATGCTTTTTTGAAGCATCCAAAATATTAGCTGATTATGAAAAGAAAACTTGAGGGAGAGATATGAAAAGAAATTTTTAGAAATTAATCTCTCCTCCAAAATGTTATGTTCTATTAGTACATTTTAGTTATTTTTACGTGTTAAAGATTGCAGTAAATGCCACTTCAAATGTTTCTGCTTCATTAACAAATGGCCACATCAAAGAGACAGGATAATTTACTGGCCGTGCAAGCACCATCTCCTTCATCAATTACCTATTTTAATGACTTGCATGTTTCTCCACGTTATTTCCTTTCACTGCTTCCCTGTGAGTATTTGTGATGTGGAAGCGGGACAAGGGGTGGCCTTTTGGATCTTCCCCATTCTAGAAGAGCTTTTAGAAACACCAAGATTCTCCTAACCCCCAGAGCACACTGCCTTCTTTCTTAAAGAAAAAAAAATTTAGACAATGTTTACTAAGTGTAAGATATAGAGAAAAAGGACAAAGACTGTATTTACAAAAATGCTCAGATGGAGGAAAAATTGTTTTGGTTAACACTGCATAAAACCGTTAAAATGAAACTCAGTACTTAGAATGAACAACGCTAAAACAATATTTTGTCAATGTAGTGAGTTTTTCTCATTCATTTTCATCATTCAGAAGTTTAAAATGATTTTTTTTAAACTTTATTTTTATTATTTTGTGTGTGTGTACCATCAAATCAGATCTGACTGGTACTGGAGGGGGTTGTTAAAATGATTTTTTAAACAAGTTTATGTTTTTAAAAAGTAGAGGAGGAAATCTGTTTAGAAGGGAGTAGGGAGCTCTGGTGACCTAGTGATAAGGAGTTGTGCTGCTAACCCGAAGGCAGGCAGTTCAAATCCACCATCTCCTCTTCAGGAGAAAGATGCCTATGCTGTTTACAGCCTCTGACAACCTCTCTGGAGGGTCAGCTATGAGTTGGTTCCAACTCTGACGGCACGTAACAATAACTATTTAGGGATTAGAGACATGGATGTTTAAACTACGTCTTGTATCAGGAAATTTTTCATTTTGAACCTTTTTTTCCCCCCCTGTGAAATATGGTATTCCTCAAATCAATGTTGCAATTAGGTCTCAGAGGCATCTGTTCCATCCTTTTAACTAACTTCCCTGGGACTGGTTGCTATCAAAACAGAATAAAATCTTGTTGATTTAACAAGAGGAGATACAAAAATGGAAAAAAGGAGGGTGGGTGGGAAAGGCTTCTAGTAATTGGGATTTGAGAAAGAAGTGAAAATAGAACAACCAGTGTAACAGAGTTGATTTCAAAGTGTCCACAGTTCTTACTCAGGTTGTGGGGGAGGCTTATTTAATGACATGAAAAATTTTATGTGGCTCTTTAAATGGTCCAGATATTTTCCCCTCCTGGGAGAAAGTTCCAACAGTACTAAACGAGTGAGTTACTCATGGACTGAAACAAACATCTACTTCAGTCTTGGACAACCAGAAGAAATCTTTATGCATTAAACAACAACAACAACAAAACCTCAAACTCATTGCTAGCAAGTCAGAACTGACTAATAGCTGACCCTCCACCAAAGTTTTCAGAATCATGCCCCCTGCAGTACAATGAGAACAGGTAACAAACAGCACTCACCTTTTCTTTGTCACTAGCTTCTCTAGCCACTGTTGAGCCCTGAAACAGAAGAGAAATAATATGTACTTGAAACACTGATTTCCCATGTTTAAAATATCAATGTTCCTGGGCAGAGCAGAGACATGAATTAGCATCCACTTGGCCCTGAAGCCTCAATTGGTGTGAGCTCCTGCCCTCTGCTTGCTTTGTGATTTCTGTCCTCTAGAGGTACTGTCCCCAACCTTTACCCCATTGTATTCACTTACATTGTTTCTTCTCTGGTTTGTGTCCACTTGCTGAGAATCAGAAACCTGACAATCACTTGGGTAATAACTTAGCAAACTTTGGGTCATGTTATAGACTGAATTATGTCTCTCCAAAACATATGTTGAATTTATGGTCCCTGTATCTGTGAATATGATCGATCGCCTTTAGAAACAACAGGACTTTCTTTTGTAATGTTAATGAAGATGTCCTAGCACAAGTTGGACCTAAACCTAATCACTTGTGAATTATAAAAAACCAGACTCCATGTGAGACACACACAGGGTAGACAGACCCCATGGTAGCAAAAGAACACCAGAAATCAGGAGAGGGACTTACAACGAACCTGGCTACCACTCAAAATGTGGACTTTCAGCTTCCAGAACTGTGAGGGGGGAAAAAAAAATACCTCTGTTCTCTAAAGCCACCAGCTCCTATTATTTGATATATAGCAGCACTAGGCAGGGAGGGACCAGTCTTTGGAGAAGGACTTCATGCTTGTAACAGTGGTTGAGCAGGCGAGGAAGATCCTCAATGAGGAGACATGGGCTGAGGTCTGCTGGAGGCTTGCTCAGGACAGGGCAGGGTTCAGAGCTAATGTACATAAGGCCGCTAAAAGTCACAGGTGATTCGGCGGCACATAACAACAGCAGCTAAGACAGACTTACCAAAATCACACTCTCTGAATCAATTGTCAGAAATGGCTGTTTTGATTATCTTACATAGGAGGTCAGTGCAGTAACCATTAAAGGCCTCTTTCCTCGCATTCTTTCAGAAATAGGTGTCTTCACCTAGGATGATCTTTTCTATGAAATTTACCACCTTCGATGTTGCTGAGGGGCATTTTTATCTCTTACTATAAGTAAGGTCCTGTGGATACTTTTTGTCTCCCTCCACTGTGGAGGATTCCTTCAAAGACACGGACATTCCTTACATGTATTTTGTGCCAGGGCCATTGCTTGGTAGGTGTATGAGGTAGAATAAAATGCAGACCTTGATATCTTGAGGAATGTCTACTGTCCTATAGTGATTTTGAAATTATTTATTTTTTTTTCTTTTTTAAAAAAGCCTCTGTACTCTAGAACTGTCCAAGGACATCTGTTCCACTCCCACCCCTTCTTTCACTTCAAGCAGAGAAACTTTCCTTTGCAGAATATTTATATTCAAAAGGAAAGTTGGAAAACCCATTGTATTTGTAAACATGTGAACAGAACAATGAATATTAATTCCTGCACTCCTCATAGCATAATGACAGACAAGATGGTGGGAGAAGGATGACACATTAGTTTCCTGACCACCCTCCCCTCCAGCACTGGATTCCCAGCTTCTGAAGAGTTCAGGATTACGGTCTGATTATGTGATCAGGGCTGAGAGACACGTTTATGACCTGGGAATACTCAAATTAGCCAATCATTAAAAGAAGTTACACATAAGTGGAGAAGAGCTAAAGTCACTTCTAAGTTGACCATTCTTAGAGAAATGCCATTTGCTACCCAATTGCTATCCTTCACTAAGCAGCTCACTATTTAACAACCCCTGGCATTGATAAGGATGTGTGCCACTTGTTATTCATTGACCAGAAAATTCAGACTGAAGAGACCCTTGAGACCGGGGTAGGGAGCCAAGCCCAGGGTTTCCCAGGTCATTTCTCTGCTTTCCTGTGCTCAGGGTTCCAGGGCTTCAAAGAACTTGGACACCCTGATTTGAGCCTGGAGAGGATGTGGTGAGTCTAGGCCCCTTACCCACTGCAGTTTGTTAAATGGTACAGCCACAGTGGAAAAACACATGACACTACTTAATAAAACAACAACTAGAAATGGTCTAGCAACCCCACTTCAATTTGATCTAAAAAGATAGGTGAGATTATGTGAGCCAAGGCAACGAAACCTATAATATCTACTATGCAAATAAGCATGCTTTACATCAAGTTATGTTACTGAATGCCTACTTACACAAGGCACTATCTATCTATGCCCTTTCTAGGGAAGAAAAAAGTAAATAGGTTACAATCTTTGCCATGAAGGCACATACATTTGTAGAATGGATTGACTAATAAAAATTCATAGATATTTCCTATACATTATGCTGGGTATGACATATATCTATATCATTTAATCATAAAATAGCCATGCAAATTTAGGTATAATTAGCCTGATTTAGAGTTAAGAATCTGGGTTACAGCGGTTAAGGAGCTTGCAGAACATGTGGCTTTAGAAGTCACTTTGGCCTCTTACATGGAAAAGTCAGACCAGCACAGGAGTCCTGTTACACTCAATATTGAGCACACTCAGCATCTGCAAAGGCTTCCTGAAACAGACTGTATCAGGAAGAGAGCCTTGCAGGGTGGAGTGGCTGGGGTTTCCACCCAAAGCAATTCTCAAGGAGCAAAATGGCTTGAGCTAAGGCTTGGAGGTAGACAAAGCAAGGCTGTATTGGAGAAGTTAGTTTATCTAGACTCCACAGGGTAGAGATAAGCTTAGACCACTTCCTTTTACTCAGATCAGCGTTTTTCTAAGTGTGGTCCTCATATCCCTGGGATCCCTGTACACAAAGTCACAACTATCCTTATAGAGACACTGTTTTTTTTCACTGTCTTAAATATGCAGTGATACAGCAGTGACAATGGTAAGTAAAACTATTGGCATTTGAGCACAAATCAAAGGAGAGGCCAAACTATATTAGCAACATTTTTCATAGGGGGGAAAAAATTAGTATAGTTTATCCAAGATGAAGCAAAAAGAGAGCTAAATTTATTACATCTTGATTCTAGGGTACATATCTTTCCATTATTGTGTGTGAAGTAAGCATGAAGCACTTTTGTACAAAAAAAGGAGCAAAGGCTCTTAAAAACAATTCTATGAAGATTTGAGCTGAATGAACTAGTTTTTTGTTGGCTTTTTTTCATACAATAGATTTACATGAAAAAACTGGCAAACTGTAGATTTGAGTACCTGGCAGATATTTGTTCAAAAGTGAACAAAGCAAAACTACCACTGCCAGGAAAATTGACAGAATTTTGAGTTAATTATAAAATCTGAGCTTTCATATGACAATTGGAATTTTAAAACTTGGATCTACCAGTCTGGACTTTATGGATTGAACATTTTTCTCTTGAGAACAGTCAATGTGATTTTGGATACTGTATAATGAAACACATCCATATTTGGAAAATTCTCATAAATTTAGTGAATTGACACTTTCCAAATGATTGATGCATAATGTTACAAAACCATGTATTCAAAGTGCAAGGCAGACCAGTGAAAAGGAAGCACAGAATGTTTACTGAAGTGATTTCAGATTCTACATTGCAGCTAATCTTTGAGAAATTACACTGGTTTAGTTTTGATATAATTAAAATAACCCACCCCAAACCCAAAACAATTGAAAAAGTTATTAAGACTAACTTTCTAAGTATATATACTATTTGTTTAAAGCCAGGGCAGCACAGGAGAGGAAGACCTGGGATGAGATAGTGATAAAGTAACTACAGCAATGGGGGTAGGTGTGTTGGAGTCAGTGAGACTAGCTCAGGACAGGGTGGGCTTCAGAGCTGTTGTACACAGGTGACTCAATGACATATAACAATAGATTGATGGTAATCACCGATAAGACATCCCAACTGTTTTCAGACATCAAAGAAATTTGCAAAAAATGTAAAAATATTATTTTTCATATACTTTTTTTCTGCAAAATAACTTTTCACAAAAGTATTTTACTTTTCATTAACATGTAATGGTTTTATTATTTTCAGTAAGTATTTAAACTTTTCTCATTAATTTCTAATGAGTGTGAAGGGTCCTAAGAATGGTTGGCAAACTTCTTCTGAAATGGGTCAATTAGCATCTTAGGCTTCCTGGCCCATGACAGTCTGTTGTAACTATAAAAATCTGTCACTTAACACAAATCCAGCCACAAGTAACACAGAAACAACAGGCATGGCTGTGTGCCAATAACACTTTATTTACAAAACTGAGCCAAAAGCTGGCTATAGCATGCATATAGGCCATAATTTGCCAACCTTTACCCTTGGACATTTCTCCCAAATCTATTTTCAACTCTGCAGTTTGTGATCCTAAAAGTTAGAGCCTGTTACTCCACTCTCAGACTCTTCAGAGTTCCCCTTCTTATTCAGTATTTAAAAATGGGTTTCAAGTATTTGGAACTTGCTATTCTGTCTGCCAGAAATGCTGTATCTGTGCCACTCATTCCCTCACTTTTTCATGACTTGCTTCCATGGCATCTTCCCAGTCACCTTAGTCACTACTTTGTCCCTACTCACAATATTTTTGTTTACAGCCATAGCACATATCACTCCCTAAGATCCCATTCTATTATTTACTCATTACATGTATTTATTGTCTGTCTTCGCTCACCAGGATGTCAACGACTTGAAGGTTTGGTCTGGCTTGTGCATCACAGTATTCCTAGAACAGTCTCTGCTATACATTTGGTAGTAAAGAAAGTCTTCTGAATTAAATTAGATATCATTTTACAGAAGTGTCTTTGGTATCCAGAAAGCAATGCTTGCTTTAACATAAAGGAGCAGTATACTGTTGGCTTTAAGCTGTGAGTGCCTCTTAATTACAGTATTTACAATGTGGACAGATAAGCTTGAATTATTTAATAAAAATTAATAAAATAAAACCTCACCTTCAAATCATATTTCCTATATACAGATAAACGGTGGCTGAACACATTTCTTGTAACAATCACATATATCTCAACTCCATCAACATTTAGCCGGTACATGCCCAGGAACTGGGGAAGAAGAGTGATCCCATGACATTCCACTATATACTGCATAGGAGAGAAAGAAAAGGGGAGAAAATTCAATCAAATGATGTTCATTTGGATATAAAATGTAACTTCACCTAATGATGATTATACAAAGGAGAACCTCCAGCTTTTAAAAGATCCCAAGTATATACTACTTACAGACTGGATCTGTATTCACTGTGTATGCATAGGAAAATTCAATTTTATCTCTGAAGAGATATTTTTATTTGAACCTTCTAATCTGTAGAATCAAAACTTGATTCTAAAAGAAAACATGAGCTCTTAAGGCAAGAGGATGTCAATTGGTCCTTTTCCATAATCCCTTTAAAGCACAATTACTTCCATCTAAGGCCTTCATCTTTCACACCAGAAGCCATGATGATGATTTTATGAGGTCAAGGCAGCCATTTGGTCACTGAGATCAGCTACTTTAACAGTGTTAAGGTAGAGATTAAGGGAATTCTATGGAGGGAGCCCAGTGCTAGAAGCCAGCAAGGCTGGGTTTTGTTTCTTGTTAATCAGTGAAGGTGAGATTTTACTGTCTAGAGCCAAGCTGTTCTTGAAGGCAGGAGTGTGAAGCTTCAGCACTCACACCTCCTCACAGACAGTGGCTCATTTCATGGAGCCCATTAGGCAACCACCAATGGATGACAGCATTTCCAATTAGAGTTGCATAATTCACTACAAGAGATGTGAAGTATGCACTGAAAACCTACAAGACAGAGATGCTTCTCCTTGATAGCAGAGCTTTATGAAAGGGGCTCCCAACCAGAGGTTATCTAAGTTATGGCAGGTGCCCTGAGGTCACTTGAAGGGATGAGTACTAACCATCTAACTTTCTTTCCATCATGAGCTGTGAGAAAGCATTCAGCAAGCTGAAACTAAGAGAGCTCTTTCTTGACTTCAGGGCTTTCTTCTGCGGCCTCCCTCTCCCACCTGCCCTCCTCCTTTCTGGCCCAGTCCCTCTGCTTCAGAGACCTGAGCCTCTTTTAATAAAATTGGAGGGGAAAGTTGCCTGAGGGCAGAGAAGGCTGAGGTGATGGGGCTTCTTATCCAAGAGACAGTTTAAAATAAATATATTGTCTTCCATGATAATAAATAATTGGACCCTCAAAGTGGAATTTTCTTTGATTGTAGGGTTAATTGTCACAGGTGAATGATGATGCTAAATATTTAAAATGGGCGTCAGCTGTAGGGTAGGATACAATGTTAAGTGCTTGCCGTAGGCCTTGTTCCCCTTAGGTTCATGTCTACGCCCGTTGTAATTTCTCTTTTCTTTTAAAATGAGGAGAAAGAAGATTTATATAAAAGAAAAGCTCTTTTGTGTCCATGACATAATGGTATTGAAGTCTCCAGGGCAATGAAGAGAACAAGTAATATCACCCAATGTGGAAAATTACACACACTGTATTTCAGAGATGCTTAGAGGAAAGTTCACCTATTATGATAAAATTTCAGATAATTTTCTTTCTCCCATTGCCTACTCTTCTTGCTTGCATTTCTCTTTCTTACAAGGAGTATTTAATAATAATAATAAAAAAAGCCAAACAAAAATGTAATTACAAGACACTTTCAAACTTTGTAGTGAGAAACACTGGTAAGAACTCTGGTATTAACTATCTCAAAGAGCTAAAAAGTCTCCAGATTTTATTATTAATGATAAAGAGAACAGCTAAACCATATCAATGGGTGAATATGATTTAAGTTTGTAACAATCTTGGGAAATCTTAAAGATGCTTCTCTTTTCCTACTGACAAAAATAAGTACCATCATTTTGATTTGACATATTTACCTCACCTTATTCTAAATTTGAAATCAGATTAACAGGATTTTTACAATTTCTCTCCTATAAAAAAAAATATACATTAACTTGAGCTTTGCTAAGGTAAAATGGGTAGTTTCCTCTTAAACAGGAAGTTTCTTACCTATGAGCTATAGAAATCAAAAAGAATTTTGTTCCCTGCCTCTAAGATACATAAACTGAGTAGGTCTTAACAGAGATTTCCAGAGTGGACACTGGATAAGCATAGTAGAGAGAGGGTAAGTAGGGGAGTCAGAAAGACATATGTGTGAATGCTGGCACCTTGTTTTAACCATCTATGAGATCTTGGAAGAATTACGCTGCACCTTAGTTTCACTTTTTGGGAAATGAACATTAGAACTTCTATCTGGAAGGCTGTTACAAGAGTTACAGATAATAGTATGTTAAAATGCTTAACACAATGGTTGGCTACTGTATTATACTTGGAACCTACTCATAGCTGACCCTTGAGCAGGTTTTCAGAGGTTGTAAACTGCATAAGAGGAGACTGACTGTCAGCTCATCTTTCTCCCATGAGGCAGCCTGGTTTGGGGTTGGCAGCACAAATCCATAAGGTGCGTCTGATACAGGCCATGGTCTTTGCAATCACTTGTTATGCATCAGAGAGTTGGACAATGACTAGGGAGGATAGGAGAATTGGTGCCTTTGAGCTGTGGTGCTGGAGAAGAGTATTGAGGGTACCATGGACTGCTAAGAAAACAAACAGATTCTTCCTTGAGAGGGTTAAACCAGGTGGCTCCTTGGAGGCAAGAATCCTGAGGCTTCGTCTGATATACTTTGGACATGTTGTAGGAAGAGACCAGCTCTTGGAGAGGGACATCATGCTTGGGAGGGTGGAGGGGAAGGCCCTCTATGAGGTGGATTGATTCAGTGACTGGGGTAATTGGGATGGGTGTATCAGAGACAGTGCGATTGACACAGGACAGAGCCGAGTTTAGGGCTGTTGTACATAGGGTCGCTATGAGTTGCAAGCAACTTAACATAACAATTGTTATTTTTATTAAAACTCTGCTAAGAAATGTTAATGTGAAATCTTTGTAATTTTTTTTCTAAACCAGCCTTCAAATGTGGGGACTTTCCCTGAGCCAGCTTCTGTGGTAGGTGTTTTAGAGGAACAAAGGAGATGACCCCTCTCCAAGGGACATACACCAAAAGGGTATTTAGGTTACCAATCCCTCTGTGTGCTGTTCTACTTAGATTACTCAGATACCAGTGTGCTGTTCTGCTTAGATTACTCAGATGCCAACCCAAAGGCATGTGGTTCGAATCCACCAGCTGCTCCGCGGGCAAAAGATTGGCAATCTCTTCCTGTATGATTTAGTGTCTCTGAAAACCTGTTGGACAATCAGCTATGGATTGGTTCCAACTTGACAATAACTTAACAATAACAACCCCCTTTAAAAGTCCTGCAAGTAGAAAATGTTTCTTTGGTCAAAGTTCCTATGCTAATTGCCTCTCTGAATAACTGTATCCACTGCCGAAAGACCAGAACTGTATGATATGATGCCTGATACTATAGATTCTATAGAAGAATCCTAATCAAAAGAGGTAAAATGCAGAACAGAATTTCAAATTCTCATGAAAACTTTATCTGCTGGAACCATGGAGGCTAGAAAATTGCCCTGAGATAATCTTTAAACCAAATATACTGTCTGAAGTTGTCTTCAAAAGCTGTTTTAACTATATGGGATTAAATGGATAATAGCAATTTGGAAAATTAGAGAAGAAATTTAAGGGGGAAGAATTGTGGAAAGGTGAGAATGGTTTTACATCTTCAAGGATATATTCAATGCCACTGAATTGTACATGTAGAAACCATTGGATCAATATATGATCTACTGTGTATATTCTCCATAATAAAAAAGTACAAAAAACCAAACTCTCAATACAGAGTCTGAAACACCATGCTAAACAATGAATCTAACCTTTACACACCTTTCTCAAGATGGTAAAGAAAGTGGTTGAATATTATACAATAAGCCATTTAGAAGTCTTTTTTATGGGATAAACAACTATATTAATTACATCCTACAACTCTTTTAACAGCTGGTAAATTAACGCATATTTTTAGAAAGGTCAACTTTGATCTACTTCATGCACGTGGCTGCATGTGCATTGGTTAACCTCTGAGGTCCTTTAACAAACACCTTGGAAAATACAGATTTAATAAACTTTAATAAGTTTAAAACTACCAAATATATAAATATGTACAGCACTGCAAACCATATGTAAATGCAGTACTATGAAGCAGCAGTTGGGGTTAAAGGCTTGGTGGTGTTTGGTTCCATCAAGTTGACAGCAACTCTATAAACAACAGATCTGAATCTCATCCTATCCTGCATCACCCTCATGATCAGAAGTTGTCAAGCTCAAGCCCACTGCCATAGTTACCGCCGCAATCCATCTCCTTGAGGGTCGCCCTCTCTTTTGTTCTCTAAGGATAAGATAGTATTTATGGGTCAAGATTTTGTAGAAGAGGAAATTTCTGCTCAAGAAAACAAACAGGTTCACCCTGGAGAGGGTTAAACCGGACATCATGCTTGGGAGGGGGTGGAGGGCAGGCGCAAGGAGGGGAAGACCCTCTATGAGGTGGATTGACTCAGCGACTGGGGTAATTGGTATGGGTGTGTCAGAGACAGTGCTATTGGCACAGGACAGAGCGGAGTTTAGGGCTGTTGTACATAGGGTGGCTATGAGTCGCAAGTGACTCTACGGCACATAACAACAACAATGCATCAGAGAGCTGGACAATGACCAGGGATGGTAGAAGGAGAACTGATGCCTTTGAGCTGTGATGTTAGAGAAGTGTATTAAATATACCATGGACTGCTAAGAAACGAACAAGTTCATTCTGGAGAGGATTAAACCAAGCTGCTTCTTGGAGGCAAGGATTCTGAAGCTTTTCTGACATACTTTGGACAGTGCAAGGAGGAAACAGTCCTTGGTGAGGGATGTCATGCTTGGGAGGCTGCAGACACAGTGCAGGAGAGGAAGACTCTCAATGAGATTGACTCAGTGGCTGGGGTAATGGGGTTAGGTGTGTCAGAGACAGTGAGATTCGCACAGATTAGAGCAGGGTTTAGGGCTGTTGTATGAGTCACAGGTGACTCGATGGCACATAGCGGCAACAACAGCTGAAATTCTGGTCGTGGGCACTGAGGAAAGAACAATTAATGCATTTTAAAGGGGCAGTGAACTT